GCAGGCTGAAGGATGAATCTGTTGTTGCTGATGAGCACCTGGTGTTAGTGTATAACTGGGTACTGATGATCCAACATAATGATTTTCACAGACATCACTGCCAATGGTAGGCACATGCAACCCATGCAGTTGCATAGGGTCCCTGCCATCACGACTCTGTTACACGCCCTATTCACTTGGCAAATTTGGGCTAACTCTGTGTCCCCTGCTCTCTTTGTCCCACCATTTGGCAACTGAACTTTATACCTTCCACCCTCTGGAACTCTTTCCCTTTACCCCTTTGTCTTGCACCCTCTCTATTTCTCTTAAAATCCTTCCTTTTTTTAAAAAAAAATCTTTTCACCTTCTTCCTGGTCAGGCTTCTGACGCTGCCTCTGTAAAGAGTTCCAACATATTACTCCAGGTGATCTAGGCATTATAGAAATGTAAGCAATTGTTATTTTGTTTGAATTTTGAATAAAACTATAAGCTGTAAAGTTAACACTGTCTCTTTACAAATGTACAGCTTACTGGATTTGTACTGTGTTCTCTGACATTTGCTATAAATAAAAAGCACACATGCTACACACAGCATATGTCCATGGCCATCGCTGGAGGGACAGAATTGAAAAACAATGTATTTCCATCACCCATGGTTTATAAATAGCTCGAATGTGAACGTAAAGAGCATTAGTCTTCTTGCAAAATGCCTACCTCTCCGAGTTCACTATGCCAATAAATATACCTGTTAAAGAAAATTTGACCTGGATTTTTGGCCATGTATAAAATACTTTGTTTTATTTTGTCTAGAGAGAATACCAGTGTTGGAATCTATATTGTATTTCAATGAAATAAATATTTAAATATAGTTTTTTCATTCTTAGTCTGTACTAAAATGCAAGGATTATTTTACTTTGTCAGGTAAGGGATGCCATTGGTTGGGAACCTCATGTTAGCATTCGTTGTTTGCAGGTTAGGAAAAGCTTCGCCAGATGGAAGAGGGAAAGCCCTCTGCTACATTCGCCTAGAAGAAATAGAACATTCTTCATGCCACTAAATGTAATAATATTGAAAGTGTTTGCAGATGTTTTGCACATATCTTCATTGTTGCCCCACATAGGAACAAAAAAAGGAAGAGCAGGAGACCATTGAGGTCATCGAACCTATTCCACCATTTTATTAGATCTTGGCAAACCCTTTAATCCCAATCCGCTGTCCTTTTGCCATTAACTTTAATAACTCTACCACTGTGCCTTAACCCCACTCTCAGAATGAAACCCTTAACTTCACTAATATGTTTCTGTTTTCCATTTCCCATACCAGTAGAGTTTCTGAATTAGTATCAAGTTATAATAATCTTTTGTTTGATACAGCGCCTTTCACTCTGGGAGCATCTCAAAGAGCTTCACAGGATATATGGTAAAATGTAGTGACTGAGTGTTTGTGGGTGAACATGGCATCCAATTTGTCCCCAGCGCTGTCCCACAGGCAGAGCTGTCCCGTAGGCTGTCCCACTTTTATTTGGGGGCTTGTTGGCCAGGATACCAGGAGAAACTCCTTTTTCTTTTTGATTAGTTCCATGGAATATTTAACATCCACCCAACCTTAACAAGCAGATGGGGCCTCATCTGAAGGTCGCCATGTCCGACAATGGAGAACACTTCCAATAGTGCATTGGAGTGTCACCTTAGACTATAGTTCCAAGTCCTGACGTGGGGCTTCTGATTCAAAAGCGAGATTGCTATTACTGAGCCAGGCTGACACCTCACAGTACGACCTGTGAAATGTGATAGCTGTAGGAAGCTGGCTTAAGAGCACTCAAACGCTTTCAAGTAATCTCCAATTTCAGAGACTGAAGGACAGGGTTCCTTCCAGAATAAAGAAAGATTATTATTATTCTAACGATAAAGAAATATTGTTTTTTAAATGGTGGCCACAAACGTTTTGCTGTTTTAGTTTCTGGTACTGAAATTGTAAAGCGATTCTACAAGGCTCAACTACTCAGTGGATAAACAAGCTAAACATCAGGCAACTGGAGTTCACTTTCTTTTATTTAAATTGCTAAATGGGAAAAATCCACATTTTGTGAAAGAAACCAAGTAAGAAAAAGGTTAAGTACCTAAAGCTGTTAATCCTGATTAACAGCAGACTCTTTCACACATTCTTATCTTGTAGATGCTGCATTGCCAGTTGTTTCTGATAGAGTATCAGCATTGCTGATAAGTCCTCAACAATTTTCTTGGAAGCTTAAGTCAGCGAATTTTGAGGTTATTGGAAAGCTGTGAATCTTTCAGATAATTTTTCTTTTGGAAAATGAGACCATGAATCTCTCCAGTCTCGACTTTGGATCATAGCTAAATCATAGACGGTGATCATAGCTCGCAGCAGAAAAAGCTGCCCTTAATTTGGCACTGAAATAGTAGTCTGCTCAGAAGGCCCACAGGTGACTAGTGTGGGAAATGGAAAATGCCGAACTGGTGCAGGGCAATAATAATAATATAATAATAATTCTTGCATTTGATGTAGCGCTTTTCACGTCTTCTAGACGTCTCAAAGCACTTCACAGAATATATTGTAAAGTTAATTGACTATATTTGTGGGCGAAATGCGGCAGCCAATTGTGCACAGCAGTGTCCCACAATCAGTCGTGGATTGAAGTGACCAATTTTATTGTTTTGTTTTTTCTTGAGGGATTATTATTAGGCTCTGTGTGGAGTAAGGAAACTTGCCCAAGGTTTCGCCCTGCCGGGAATCAAGTCCTCTAACCACTGGGCTCCAGGACTCCACAATGTGTGTTTAGTAGAAACAATGTTTTCTGAACTAGGGGCTGGGGAACTTTGTTGGAGGCAGACCAGAGGGAGCAATGCTCTGCAGCTAATGCTTTTTTTTAAAAAAAACTGTTCTCTTAGTATAGATTTAACATGAAACTCACATTAAACTGACACTGAATTAAGCATTGAACAAAATCCAGTTCCTTTCCCACCGTCACAAATTTCCCTACCTTTACAAAATTCAGCCCAAACGGAGAAAATCACTGAGGAATCACATTTTGGAGACTTTCTCTCTGACAGGAGACCACTTTTTACTTCATGATTTATTTTGTCAGCAACAGTATCAAAGGTTTTCACTAAATAACCATGTCTTATGATTGCTACTACAGCATACAATATTTGTACGATATTTGGTGAAACTGCTTCCATTAAAAATGAAATCTTCTGTCAATTATTGTATACCGTGCATTGGTGTATTATAAAGGAATATGACGGCAACACAACACTGCTTTTTCCTTACAGAGAGGAGGTGAATAGCATTGCTTGTCCTTTTCCACTTTCAGTTTCAATGCATCGCGACATGTTACAGTATATATCCTGTGAAGTGCTTTGAGATGTCTCAACGATGTGATAAGGCGCTATATCAAATGCAAGGATTATTATTTATTATTATAAATGTCACCCAAATCCTACTTTAAGGGATTTGATCATGTCACGCATTATAAATGTGACTGACTGTCTGTGAGAGCCAAGCACTCCATCAGTTTAGGTTTACACAGAACTATGGAAGGCATAGTTAAGAGAAAACAAATATATATATGTATGTGTTTTACCAACCTTGAATTATTGAATTTATTCCATTCCAACCCCTCCCCCAGGTATAATGGTATCTTTACAAATAAATACCATCAATTTTTAATGAGAGCATGGCTGCCTTCCACTGAACGGAAACAATTATTACCCGGGAGAGCAGACAAGTCAGCATTGTGTATGTTTGGAGGGCAGTGAGGTGATATATTGGACCACAGATGACCATAATTAAAAAGAATAATTTTGCAACTATTAAATGGAAGAAAACAATTAAGATGATGTAGAAACGACCAACATTGTAATAAACCAGATTGGCCTGCTTAAATATTAAATATCAACAGATTGGCCGGCACGTCTCTCATTTGTGTTAAGGATTATAAATCCCAATTCTGTGTTTCTCTGCAGCTTAGAATATTCTGCGTCTTTCTTGATTCTTGGAGGTGCTAGGGAATTTTGAGGAGCTTAAATGTTTTTAGAATGCAAGGAATTGCAAGCAATTCTTGAGTATTTTGTTTCATTCTTCACATGTTTGCACTGTATTTTGCATTATTAATAAGACAATTATAGTTTTTTATAATGAATGGTAGCTTGTGTATGTAGGAGAGGAGCTTGGAGATTGAAGAAGCCTGTGAGAGGCAGGTGTGAAAGATGGGTCTGCTGACATGAGGGGTGCTACCAGTGAATAATATTTAACTGGGTTGCTCTACAGAGTACTCCTACCTAAGCTTTAAACATTATTATAGCTTTAATATGGAAATTTCATTTTGGAGCTTAAGTAAGAAATCGCCCATCAGGATTCCTTTTATTATATCAAAATGCACCTGAGGAATTCATATTAATCTGAATAATCTTTCACTTCTGTCCATTTCAGTCTTGCTTTTGTATATGTACCCCTATAATCTTAGGATGCGCTGAATTAGAAAGGTGACTGAGCCTGCCAGTATGAGGATGCTGTATTGAAACACAAAGTTGATGATGACTCAGCACAGCTTTGTGGAAACTCCTGATAGGCATTGGTGATCTAGGTGTAAACAGACACTTTGACTTTGGGGATGAAAGCAGAACTAAAGGACATAGGTTTAAAATTAACAAGCTTTCAAGTAAGACTTGAACTCAGAGGGATTATTTGCCCGCAGCGTGGAGGATATAAACTCTTAGCAAAACAGTTGAAGCTGTCAATCAGCAACTTCAAAAAATAACTCAAAGTATTGGCATTCAAACCACATTGGCGGATACATTGTACTCCACAATGCTTTCCACATTGCTGAAGCCTGGGAAGCAGGACAAGTCCCAATGGTGATGATTTGGGAATGAATATAAATGAATAATCCAGATGTTTTGCTGTGTGTGTGTGTGTGCGCATGTATGCGCGGTACTGTGGGATGGAGTTCCAGAGAGTGGGGCAGAGTGGCTGAAGGCCCCCCCTGTCAATGGTGAGGTGGGGGACGTGAAGGAGGACGGAGCTCCCTGAGCGGAGGGCATGGACAGACTGGTAGGGGGTTAGGAGGTCGCAGAGGTGTGGGGAGCAAAGACATGGAGGGCTTTGTAGGGGAAGACCAGGATCTTCAACTGTATCCTCTGCGATGGGAAGCCAGTGGAGTTGGGCGAGGATAATAATAATAATAATAATAATCCTTGCATTTGATATAGCGCTTTTCACGTCGGGAGGACGTCCCAAAGCGCTTCACAGAATATACTGTAAAGTGAGTTGACTGTATATTTGTGGGAGAACGCGGCAGCCAATTGCGCACAGCAATGTCCCACAAACAGTCATAGATTGAAAATGACCAATTTAATTATTGTTTTTGTTTTTTGGAGGGATTATTATTATGCGTGTGGAGTAAGGAAACTTGCCCAAGGTTTTGCCCTGCCTGGAATTGAACTCAGGTCTCTCACTTGCAAAGCGAATGCTCTAACCACTGAGCTACAGGACTCCACCTACAGGATGGGGGTGATAGGGTCACGGAGCCTGGTGCAGGAGAGGACACGGGCTTCAGCGATCTGGATGATCTGCAGCCTATGGAGGGAGGAGTTGGGGAGGCTGACAAGCAGGGAGTTTGCATAGTCGAGCCTGGATGTTATGAAAGCATGTATGAGGGTTTCGGGGGCCTGCGGTGTGAGACAGTGGTGGAGCCGGGCGATGTTGTGGAGTTGGGGGAAGGCAGAGCGGGTCATGGTGCAGATGTGGGGTAGAAAGGATAGTTGAGGGTCAAACAAGATGCCAAGGTTCCGGACTGGCTTAGCAAGGTGGAGTGTGCAACCATGGATGGTGTTACTGTCAGCGCCTGAAGTGAGGAGGCACTGACGGGAGCCAATCAGGAGAGCCTCGGTCTTGTTGACATTCAACTGAAGAAAGTTAGCTCTCATCCAGAACTTGATGTCTGACAGACATTCTGTCAGGACAGCAGTGGTCCTGCAGTTGAGGGTGGAGGCAGAGAGACAGGGTTGGTGTCACCCGCATACATGTGGAACTTTTCTCCTAGGGGAATGCAGAACTTGCCCCTAGGAGAAACACTAATTTTAGGCATGTGATGTGCTCCCTGCTAGGTGTCTGATTATAATAAATAATGGTTTTCTGCCTTTTGTAAAGTTTCCCTATTAAAATTGTCTCATTAAGAGTCCAAAGCCATCGTCTCCCTCCTCTAAAATAGTGATCGTTCTTCTAATCACTCCAGTGGCACAGACATGGAAGAATCATTTGTGAGAATACGGGACAGATTTTTATTAAATTGACTTTGAACGCTTTATGAACCATAAATAATTTTGCAATAAAATGTTTCCAGATGAAGAAAACCAATATTTAAATAATGAGATTCAAGTCAAATGTGTGCAATGAACATTGTAGTGAGGTTTTGTAATTCTTTGCTAAGTGTTATTGAATGAAGAATTTAAAATATAAAACTTAAATTATTGCTTGTATTCTTGAAAGTAAATTTTAAAAAAAATTGTATATCCGTGGGCATATTATCCCCAGATAAAATTGGTTATTCACTTCATGACTGTTTGACTGTTTAGGTGCTCTGGGACCGCTACCCAGGATGAGGGGCTCTATATAAATGTAAGATGTTGTTTGTGGGACATTGCTGTGTGCAAATTGGCTAGCACATTCGTCTACAGACTGCACAGTCCCAACACTTCATAGCGAATCCTGTGAAGTGTTTTGAGATATCGTTCGGACCTGAAAAGCACAATATCAGCAGCTATTATTATTATTACATGCGCTTTGGGCATCTTGCCGACGTGAAAGACGCTCTATACATGTAATTTTGTTATTGTTGTTGTTGATCTGTCTCCATTGGAAGATAAGAAGATGGGCTGGTTGGCTCCTTCCCCCAGATATTGAATGATTTATGTCCCTTATTTGGATCAGAACTACAATCACCATAAGGCCTGGGTAGTTCAGTCAAATGATGCTCGATTTAGGTGCTGGTTCAAGCAAGGTTTGCTCAAAGTTCACTCAAAGTGTACAGGGATAAGAGAAAAGAATTGGATTAAAATGTAGTAGTTAGCTTCTGTGGGTTAGCTCGCGTCAGTTTAGGCTCTGGGGCCTCCCCCTTCTTATGCTGTGACTTCTGTGATTTTGAGATTTATAAGTGTATGCTATCTCACGATGTGAACAGAAAGCAGGAGTCTGTGTGCAGTGCTGTCACAGTAACTATCCTCACATATTCCTAGCTTTTCGCTATGTAAATGGGAATCAGCACAGACCCCAATCAATTGTGTGCCTGATGGAGAAGGTAATCTTGCTGTTTTCAGAGAACGGAATATATAATTGCTTTCCGTTTGTATATTAAATCTTTTTTTTTCTGTATTGTAATAACATTTTGAAACTCTGGTAATGCATCTGTCAGGCATTTCTCTTCTCTTGATCACTGTTGTAAATGTTGTCAGCCTTTATCCAGATTTGTGCATCTTTCAGATTGATCTGGTGAATCAATGAAATCTAGAACTGCAAAAGAGTGAAACATCGTCTGCCTTTTACCTTACCTGCAGTCATTATTTTCCTCCCTTTACTGACAGACACTTTAAAGCCTTGTTCATTTGCGTAGATAAAGTGGTTTCTTTCAATTTGTTAGAGCAGTAAATTTTAATTATTTCAAGTGATGTCCCTTTAGGGCTTTAATTTATCACTATTGATGAGTTACAAAGCAGTGGTTCAGAATATTGGTTGCCAGCGGCTCAAGAGTAACGGACATTTAACACTTATTTACCCTGCTAAGACCCTACTGGTCCAAATCCCTGACTGTCCAGTGCCTTGGGACATCCTCCTGACGTGAAAGGTGCTATACAAATGTAATTTGTTGTTGTAAGTACCTTTATGTTCGGAAGTCCAGATATAAAGCTTTGATTTTTCAAAAGGTTCATGATCATGACTCCCTTGTTGTCTGCTAATTATTTATTTTCCTACTTTCTCACTTGCTATTCGAATCCTTGGGCAAGTTTCCTTACTCCACACGTCTAATAATAATCCCTCCAAAACAAAAAAAATTGGTCATTTTCAATTCACGATTGTTTGTGGGACACTACTGTGTGCAATTGGCTGCCGGATTTCGCCCACAAGTATATGGTCAATTCACTTTACAGCATATTCTGTGAAGCGCTTTGAGACATCTAGAAGACTTGAAAAGCGCTATATCAAATGCAAGGATTATTATTATAATTCATTGCTTTGTTTCATTGTGAAAGATGGGATAAATCTGCTTCCACCTTTTATTTATTTATTTAATGTCAGAGGAATTTGATGCAAATGCATATATTGGGTTGAAACATGTGATATGAGGATCAGATTGCTCAAACTTGTGGCTTAAGTCACTTGTTAATATCAACTGGTTGTGTACTTGCGAGGGTCCTAGTAAGTGAATCTCTCAGTGTATTCCAAGTGGTAAAAATCATACATCATGGAAGGAAAGGGGGAAAAGGACCCCTGGTGCCACGAAGCCCAAACCTGGAAGATTCCCCCCAACCAGTATTCTGACTGCCCTTCTTTTCTGATGCTGCCATTTGCTCCCCTTCTTAGGGAGATGAAATGATGGAGACGATTTATTTAAAAAAAAAGCCAATTCAGGGGGAAATAGCTTCGGATGAGACCTGTCCTTTGGATGAGATGTTGAACCGAGATCCCGCCCACCTGTTCTCGTGCACGTTAAAGATCCAATGGCAGTCCTTGAAAGGACTCCCCAAATTAAATTGGTTGTTTGTGGAATATTGGTTTGTGCAAATACAATACAAATTATATTTGTAAAGTGCCTTTCACATCATAATTGACTGTACTGTTCGCCCACAAAACACATTCACTACATCTTACAGTATATCCTGCACTTTCTTCTGACGTGAAAAGTATGATACCAAATATAAGGAGTATTATCAAATTAAATACTGGATAATTCCTTCCCGACTGGGGGAGGCACTCAGGCAAAAGAGCGACCCAGGCCACCAACTTTCTGAATTAATGCTTCTGCACTATTACCTTGCTGTCACTGTGGTATGATTAGGCTCCTTGCCTGTAGCTGATCTCATCTACCTCGAGAAATTTGTCTATATTGAATTTAATTACAATCAATTCATTCTCAACTAATAAATGATCCATTGGACAGCTCAAGAACATTTGAGTGAACTATTATTAATATTTCTAAAGAGCCAATTGCCTGGCTATTAAGTTGTACATATCTTAATAGCAGCAAGAAATAATAATTGGGTAATGAAGCTTTGTACTTGGCCTTATTTACACCTGCATGCATTTCTCTTCAGCCTCAGGTGAGAGTGTCTGGGAGCTGGAAGTATAACGCCAGCTTCCCATGGTGAATATCTGCTGCATTGCTTCCAGCAGAACAAGCTAATCACTAGTCTAGAGAGACGGTGAATCAATCCATAGCCATTCAGATATTACAAGGAAAGAAAAAGGGAATCTTTCTTGGTTACTCCTAGCTCTGTTGTAAGAAATAGTTTCAGAATTTCACATAATCGCTGTGCCTGCCCCTAAATTAAAATGTGGTTTGAATACTATGCAGACAGCTCAGCCTGGCCAGGTAAGACATGCAAAGATAATTACTGGATTCACTGGTATGTAGCTCATTTTGGTCTGTCACACTCCAAGCCAAAAAGTTTCACTATTGATTTTTTCCCCCCTGTAATATGACCCCTCCACCCACCCAGGGAGTGTTTCCTGTATAGATTATTACCTGTTTTATTTTGGGATGGGGGAGGGGAATTTCCCAAAGATTGTTGCATTCCATCTGCATCATGGATATTTATGTCCCCCGAAAAGATGTCTTTTTTTGTGGTGGCAGTTGTCAATCTTTTGATTAGCGCGTCTGGATTACAGGCTGACTGTGTTACAGTAGTTGCTAAAGGTGCTAAATTGTAATTTATCAAGGCTGAATTCTGTACAAGTGTCTCACATTTCCATGATGCTGACCGGAAACATGTTGTACGTCTTAACAGTCGAGTGAGTAAGTGAGTGTAAATTTACTTCTGTTATTGCAAATCAGTTGTCATCTGTTCATTAATATTGCTAAACAAGTCAGTGCCCCAGTTATTTTTATTGAACAAATGCTAAATAAGCTGCTAAATAATGTCCTCATGCTGAGACATTTTGGGGTCCCTAAAGTGACTGGAGCAGTGTAGAAAGAATACCCTGAGTTTCAAACCAGCTCGTTCAGCAAAATAAAGAGTCGAGAAGTGTTTGACTCCAAGCCAGTCTAGTAGTATGTCCTCTGAGGTTTCCATTTTCTCACACTGTAAGCAGCTAATATTAAGATGCAGATCCATACTTTGGAGATTACTGCAAGCAAGCTAGACTCTGTTGATTATTTTGGTTGCTATTGTTTTCAGTCTTACAGAAAGCCCATGTAATACCCAGGAAAATAGTTTCCCACCATTTGTTTTCCCCAGCAGTCATTTTCCCATGCTCCGATTGAACATTAACCAATGTCCCAGGAGGCAAGGAATATCATAACTTTTTTTTAACTCATTGTAGCTCTGATACTCGTAGAAAACCTATAACAGATATAGTGATGCACTTTTATAAACTATCAACAAATGTACAAATATGATTCAACTAATCTAATTAATTATATCCGAACCATTGCATGGAATCTAAACAAACAACAACAACAAAATTACATTTATAGAGTGCCTTTCATGTCGGGAGGAAGTCCCAAAGCGCTGAACAGTCAGGTAACGGGGCCCGAGCATGGGGGAGGGGTGGTGTAGGGGTGAGGGAAGGCAGCGAGGTGGGGGGGCGACTGAAGACACGATTAAAGAGAAGGGTCTTGATATCAGCTTTGAAGGAGGCGAGGGAGGAAGCGAGGTGAAGGGACTGTGGGATGGAGTTCTAGAGTGTGAGGGCAGAGAGGCTGAAAGCCCGGCCACCGATGGTAGGGCGGTCGGGCAGGAGACATGGAGCAGGCCGGAGCCCGATGAACGGAGGGAGCGGGCAGGTTGGTAGGGAGTTAGCAGGTCAGAGAGGTAGGAGGAGGCAAAGCCATGGATGGCCTTAAAGGTGAGGACGAGGATCTTGAACTCGATCCTCTGGGGGAGCCAGTGGAGTCGGGCGAGGGTGGGAGTGATGGGGTCACAGAGCCTGGTACGTGAGAGTACACGAGCTGCAGAGTTTTGGATGATCTGCAGCTTGTGAAGGGAAGAGTTGGGAAGGCCGATGAGGAGGGAGTTCCCGTAATTGAGCCTTGATGTGACGAATGCGTGGGTGAGGGTTTCGGCAGCCTGAGGGCTGAGGCAGTGGCGGAGTCTGGCAATGTTGCAGAGGAGGTGGTAGGCAGTGCCGGTCATGGTGTGGATGTGGGGGAGAAAGGACAGTTCAGGGTCAAACAAGACACCCAGGTTCCTGACTGGCTTAGTGAGGTTGAGTGTGCAGCCGTGGAGGCTGATGCTGCCAGCACCCGAGGTGCGGAGGTGCTGGCGCGAGCCAATCAGGAAGGCCTCAGTCTTGTTGACGTTGAGTTGGAGAAAGTTGTCCCTCATCCAGGACTTGATGCCGGACAGGCAGTCGGTCAGGACACCGGTAGTCCTGGAGTTGAGGGTGGAGGCAGAGAGGTAGAGTTGGGTGTCATATGCATACATGTGGAAATTAAAGAAATAGATGATAGGACAACCTTCGGTATTGAGCTGTTCAGAAGCAAAGAATGCTGCACTCTACATTCTAGCTATTTATCATTGATTTTTTTTTACATTCATTGAGAACACAAGGTGATAGACCAAGGCCATAGTTTTGGGCATACTCAAGGTTAAGTGTGCTTCCATTTAGACATTTGCTTTCTCTCTTTCAACCCCACCCCAGCCCCATACACACTTACCCTCTTCAAATATGGATTAAAATGACAAGCAATTACAATTAGCATGAAAATACAGAAGAAATGCTGTACAACACAACAAATCAGAATTTAACATGTACTGTACTTGCAGTTATCGCTGTTGAAGTGTTGGGAAGTTTCTTTGTTTTCAGGGGCTTCAGCATTTGCAAATGGAGTCTGAGAGGAAGGGAGAAAATTAACAAGTTGGACAGGCAGTAGTACAGTCACTACACTTCACAGTAAAAATCCTGTGAAGCATTTAGAGGCACTTCAATGACTTGATGAGATACTGTATCTGATGGAAGGATGATTATGATGATTATTTCTGAGAGCTGCGCAAAAGAGAGCACCTCAATTGAACAAGAATGGTCTTTTGGCAGATTCCTTTAAGAACTACAGAAAATCAGTCCCAAGGTTAAGACTGAAAAGAACAATTTACCAAACTGTGGACATTCTAAAGCACTGGGTTACCATTATGTTAATAGAGTAAATCTAGACCTAAAAGGAATTTTCCTCCATTGGTCTTTGAAACCTTGGCAATCCAAACTATTGATGGGGACATTACTGTGAGACCATCCAGCTGTGACAGAACCATTTGGTTATTTCAATGTCCATCTGAACTCAAGCAAGTTTCCAGGAGCTTCAGGATATGCCTGGGGAAGCAGTGGAACCTTTGGCTTCTGACACTGCCTGCTTCAGAGCAGATCTCCTTTGGGATTTAAAAAGTGCTTGATTGGCATAGCTTCTTGTGACTGTTGGGAGAAATGTCCACGGCATAAATCATGATTGTTCCAGGACAATGCACTGATTTGCTGGACCTGAGCTCCGAGGAGATCTCTAGTCAGTGGTGAAGTCTTGTGAGTTGCAGCAAAGTAAAGAGTACCTCCCTGTAGAAATCTGTTTCATGTTATTGGTATTAGGCTTAAGTCTAGTTGCACTGTTTCATACTTTTCCAGTTCATCGTCTGAGATTTGGCAGTCCAGTCTGTGTGTTCTGATTTGTTGTGAGTGTGTTCCGCTTCTTTTCCCGATCTAAGGGCATTATCTCAGTGGCTTTAGATTATTTTCATCCTAGATTTCGAGTTTTATATTTGTACCAGTATGTGCCACTAGCACTTCACGTTAATCTGAACTGAGATTTGTCTTGACATGTTTGCCTCTGTTTGTTCATAACAAAGATACACCTATATGTAGGAAATTATTTCTGTTGTTTGCAGATATTTGTTGCCAAAAATACATTCCAATCAAAATAGAAAAATTTGCTTTTTTAAAAATTTAAGCGCCATCTAAATTCAGCCTTTTGTTAAGAAGTATTATCACTGTTGGGCCTTAGATCATAATTTTTATCCAAGGCTGCTGCTGCCCTGCTGGTATTGGATTTGACATTTTAATATGCTTTCCTTTCATCTTTGCTTTATACAGCTTTCCTGCACCATGTAACGTACAGAGATGTAAGAGATTGCAAATTGGGGCTCAACGAAATGGAGCAATGAATCTCCCAGTAAGAAGCATCATGTAAGTTTGAATTTGTTCATTTTAACAGGCAGAGCGATAACATCACCTGGATAAGTAGCTGGGCTGAGTTATTGAGCTCAACTGTGAGAAGAGCCGAATTAAGACCCACAGTATTGAATTTGAAGTTCCCCAGATTAATGACCATAAAGTGAATTCTCCAATGATGGTAATGAGATTACTGTTTCATTTTGCTTTGGCTTTTACCTGTCAGTAATAAAATAGTCACTTCAAGAGAACTCTATTCTGCTGGTAGCAGAAGGATACTAATAATAAGAGGGAGTTTGTGTAATTACTGACCTTGGCTCAACTCTTCAATATGATATTGGTATAAACCAGTCAGAGATTTAATATCTCACAGCTGGAAACAGATTTTAAAAAAAAGTAGAAACTGTGAGCAAAACAACGATCGGCATTAAATGTATGACACTAACTCATTAATGTTGTGCTATGTAACTGTCATGTGGACAATCTTGCCACGTTGAACATTGGAGCTAGTTATTGTGGCTGCATTCCTTGCTTGGAATTTTTATGTACTGTGGTTTTGGTTAGTCTAAGGCTATTCATGGAGTCCTGTAGCTCAGTGATTAGAGCACTCGCCTTGCAAGAGAGACACCTGGGTTTTTATGTACCACAAATGTACAGTCAATTCACTTTACAGTATATTCTGTGAAGCGCTTTGAGATATCTGGAAGACGTGAAAAGCGCTATATCAAATGCGAGGATTATTATTTATTGTCAAAGGGAATGGAAAGTGATGAGGAAAAGGACCCACATCCCACATATATTTTAATACAATGTTCACCTCCTTCAGTTTCCATTTTCTTACCCTGATCTATTATTTGATTTCCTGTTTTTCTTTGAACACTTCTTTCATTTACTATGGGTGGGACGATGGCTAAGAGTAAGGAACAGTCGGCAGACGATACAGAAAGACAGCCAGAAGTAAGAGGATATTGCAAGGAGATGAACAAGAAGAAAGAGGTAGGGCAAAGTAGAGAGGCAGCCAGGAGAAAGGAAACTTGGACCAAAGTACCACAGGGTTAGCCAGGAAGAAAATAATAATGTAAAGTGATGGCCAGAAGGACATAGCAGCAGAAATTGGTTTCTTGGAAGGATGGGAAGGGGAGCAAAGAGGAGAATATTCGGTGTTCTGCAAATCACTGTGCAAATACTGCTCTGGAAATAGAAAAGCAAATTATTTCTTTTGAACAGATGAAAGAGTGGCTGCTTACACAAGAGGCTAGGAGAAACGCTGTTTTCATTGTTTGAAGATGAGAACTGCATTGCAAGCTCAAGCAGATTTTATGAGATATATAAACTAAATTAAACTAAGAACAACACATGTTGATTTGTTGTTTGAGGCTGACAACATTTGCTGCAGGATTTCTTATCAAAATGTTCGAGTTTCGGTTGGTTGTATCTCTTTTAAATTTTTATCAGTGTCCTAAAATTGGAGTGAAACAAGTTTTCATCCAATTGTGACAAAGCTAGCCAGTGCCCAGTAAGTCAATCAACATTTGAAAGAGGAAGATTAGGGCACCCTTTCATAATTTAACTTTCATCTGAACTGCTCATCTATTTTCATCAAATGCTCTGGGTAGAACGATTTCCTAAAACAACAACAACTTGCATTTATATAGCGCCCCTAACGCAGGATAGTGCCTTAGAGTATTTAACAGTGGCAGAGCCTGCTGCCAAGCCAAGGGGTGTGTGGGTGGGTAACTGTACGCATAGTCAAAGAGGAAGTTCTTCCAGTGTGACCTAAAGATTAGGAAGTGCGGCCGCTGATAGTGGATGGAGGGCGTGAGGGACGAACAGTTGTGTCAAAAAAAGCCTCAGTAAAAAGCATATATAGACACTATTTTTTTAATTCTCATAGAGAAGACCAGCTAGGACTGACTGTTGTATTTCAGAAGCAGCTAAGCAGTAATGTGTATGGATCCCTTCATAAACTGATGGCAGATTCTAGACTTACTGCTTACACAGTAGTAAAGTAACACAAATTGCAAGATTACACAAGATTCAGATGAAGAAGGTCCTTTGACCCATTTAATCTTATCCTTCCAGAATAACCCACCTCCCTCGCATCACATCATGAAGCTGTTTTTTAAATGAGTCCAGGATTCTGTTCTTTTGTGGGTTATTGCTATGTGCAAATTGACTACCACATTTGTCTGCACAATCACTGCACTTTGCAGTATATCCTGTGAAATGTTTTGAGACATCCTCCCAATATTAAAGGTGCTATATCAAATGTAAACATTATTATATTTTATAGACAGATGAAAACAACAACAACTTGCATTTATAAAGCACCCTTCACACTTCCTGCAGTACTTGACAGTGGCGGAATCTGACACTGAGTCAGAGGGAGGGGGCAGGTGACCGTAAGCATGATTAAAAAGAAGGTTTTTAGGAGAGATTTGAAAGTAGGGAGGGAGGGGGCCAGGTGGAGGGATTGAGGGAGAGAGTTTCAGAGTTTTGTGGCAAAGTGGCTGATGCACGACCATCGATGGTGGAGCAGAGGGGACGAGGGACAAACAAGAGGTCAGAGCCAACCGAGCAGAGGCAGCGGGTGGTGGAGTGGGGGGTAAGTAGGTTGGATAGGTAGGGAGGTGTGAGGGCATGAAGGGATTTGAAAACGAGTGTGAGGATCTTGAAATCAATTTGTTTGGTAATTGGGAGCCAATGGAGCCTGGCAAGGACTGGTGTGATAGAGGTACGGAGTTTCATGTGGGTGAGTATCCGGGCGATGGAGTTTTGGATTATTTATATTTTGTGTATGGTGGAGCTGGGGAGATGAACGAGGAGGGTATTTGAATAGTCTCCAGCCGGGAAGTGACGAAGGTGTGGATGAGGGTTTCGCCTGGGTTGGTTGTGAGGTATGGATGAAGGCGGGCAATGTGATGGAGGGCAATGTAATGGAGGTGTAAAGCAATCCCTAAAGGGGCTTGTTATGTAATGAGAAGATCACTGTACACTGTCTAGACAGCGTGAAGTAGATACCCAGTATCTGTTTTGGCATTTATTTGGCATGCAAACAAAAAAACTAGCCAGCAAGATTAATGTTAGTGTTGAAAATGTGCTTGTTGGAAAAACGGAAACAGAAATGATGCCTTAATTCAGAGGAAAAATAATCTGGATGTAAAGTACAACTGCTGCAGAGAACTATAGATTGATGATGTTGATTTGAGAGATCTCCACTTCGATCCAAGATTGCATCAAAACGATCCAAGATGTCAGCTAAAAGACATTGATTTTCCAAACATTTAATTCAATATTACATATCTTGCATTTGTTACGGTTAGGTTTAAAGCACTCTAAAACGCTACCCCACGAGAAGAGCGCTATATAAATGAAAGTTGTTGTTTTATGACCTGGTGTGTTCTACTTCTTGGGAACTACAATTAAATCTCTTACAAATGTGCATTGTTCTTCACCAGCTTAAATTTCTACACCATTGGAGCCTGAGCATCTGTGAGGTAATAGATCTGCAATACCTTTCTGAAATCGCATTTCTAACACTGATTCAGATTCCCTCACAAAAATTTGACAGTCTCTGCATTTATTAGTTGTTACTATGTGACCCCAATAAATATTGAGATGAAATGTATCTTAACCAGCATGTTGACTGTATTAACCCGAATACATCTGAATGGGAACAACTTGGAATAAGTACATGTCAGTCTGGCTCAGTTGGTAGCACCCTCAGTTTTTGAGTGAGATAGTTGTGGGTTCAAGCTCCATGTTGGAAGTTTCAACTCGGATAGTCCAGTATAGAGCTGATAGTGCAGAACTGAGGATAATAATAATAATCCTTGCATTTAATATAGTGCCATATCACTATATGTGGGACACTGCTGTGTGCCATTGGCTGCCGCATTTCGCCCACAAAATAGTTAATTTGCTTTGCAGTATATTCTGTGAAGCTCTTTGAGACGTCTCAAAGATGTGATAAAGCACTGCATCATCAAATGCAAAGATTATTATTATTACGTATTATAATGGCAAGTGAATTGACTATATTTGTGGACGAAACGCAGCAGCCGATTGCGCACAGCAGTGCCCTACAAACAGTCGTGGAATGAGTGACCAAATTTTTTTTAAAAGAGATTATTTGCCCCGGAAAAATGATCCGCCGGTCGACTAACAACTGGGTTCCTACTTACTACTTGGGAACAGAGACATGTGCAGTAACTAAACTTGCCCCAAATTTCGCCCTGCCTGCGAATCGAACTCAGGTCCTCTCACTTGTGATGAGAGTGCTCTAACCACTGAGCTACAGGATGTGCTGCATTGAGAGGGGTACCATCCCTCGAATAAACCATGGTTCCACCTTCCTGTTCAGATAGATGTTAAAGATTTGCATGTACTATTCGAAAAAAGAAGGGAGTTTCTTCCGATGCCCTGGCCAACAACTCCTCAAATAAAATAAAATCCATGACTGTTTGAAGATCATTGCTGTGTAGCACTCTGAGATGCTGCCCTGCATAAGGGGCGCTACATACTGCAAGTTATTGCTGTTGTATACCTGTACAAATTGGCTGTTTGCACATGTACATACTACATTAGAATAAATTCTGTGAAGCCATCCTCCCAGTGTGAAAGGTGCTACATTAAAAGTTATTGTTATTATAATATGTGTTAATGAGGCCTTTGAATATCTTGACTCTCTACCCCCTCCTCGCTCCCTCCCTTCCCTCCCCTCACGCTGACCATTTCCCCCCTACTTGGGTCCCGACCCAACTGTCCAGCGCCTTGGGGCGTCCTCCCGACGTGAAAGGCACTCTATAAATGAAATCTTGTTGTTGTTGTTGTTGTTGAATATCATGATCTCTAAGGTCCTGTAAATTTATAGAAAGCTTTGCCCTTTGTTTCCCTAATTGGTTACAAACCATGTAACAGTAGTAGCGATAATAAAGGTCGTGAAGCAAGAAGCATTTCTACCCTATGGAGGAAACAAACTCAATTTGAAACGTTGCACAGACGTCAGTTGAATC